ACATATTTTGAAAAAGAATAAAATAAAACCCTTTAAAAATAAAAATTTCAAAATATGTGAAATATAAAAAAAGAAATGCTAAGTGCTGGAAATTAAATATGGTTTATGGAGCAAGTCATTCACTAACTTGATATTCTCTATTTCTCATATATTCAAAGCACATACTGCAAGTCCAGCTTCCAAAGGAAATTGTGATTACAGTCTCATGAGCATCAGTGACAACACACAGGCATCAGCTTAACACAAACTATGCTAAAGGAGACTAGCAGGTGTTTTGAAGGATTCTGAAAACAATATCACAGCATTTTTTTAATTCCAGAGATTTAAAAAAATGATATGAAAACAGGAAAAATTTTACTTGAAAGTAAAAAAAAAGATATACAAACAATAAGAATAATTTAAACACATCAATAAGTTTGGTAGATCTTTTTGTGAATATTTGTAAATTTTAATACAACTAAACACATATTTTGGACTTTTTTGTAATGTTTTATAATATCTTACTGTGTATATCAAGTTTCTGATATATATATATATATATTTTTTTTTTTTTTTTTTTTCTGCAGCTGTGTTTTAAATCACTTGAAAGTAGGGATATAATGGAAATACTAGCTGACTTTTAACTACAGAGATGCTTTCCTAGATGACTCTATAATCACATTAGATTGTCTATGCTATGGACTGAAAGCTTGTCTCCCCAAAATTCTAATCCTAAATGTGGTGGTATTTAGAGATGTGGCTTCTGGGAGGTAATAGGTCATAAGGAGGAAACTTCATGTTGGGATTAGTGCCCTTATAAGAAGAGGCATGGTAGAGCTAGCTTCCTCTCTCTCTCTTCACCTTGTGAGGACACAGCAAGAAGATGACTGTCTGCAAACCAGAAAGAGAGCTCTCACCAGGAACATAATTGTAGGCACTTTGGTCTTGGATTTCCCAGCCTCTAGAACTGTGAGAAATTTCTCTTGTTTAAGCCATCTAGTTTATGGTATTTTGTTATAGCCGACCACCTGAGCTCAGACAATGTAATACACAGCAAAGAGGGTTTTGTGAAGCAAGCTGTTGTGACTTTCCTTAATTCATAGTGGATTTGTCAGAAAAAATCAAATTCCATAATTATGTCATTTATTTCTAAATGTTAAATGTTAAATTTTCTGATCATTCAAATTTTGGAAGGACAGTTTACCTCTAAATGGTAAATATAATATAAAAGATCTGATGACTTCAATGCAAATATTTTGTGAGTAATTACAATGAGTAATACAAATTTAAATACCTGTTTTTTTTTATGACAAACTACCAGGATAAAAATAATCTGTAAATATAATAGAGAAAATGTGTTTTTTTTAATAGTTCCTGTATGTGACAAGTAGTAGTACATGATAAACTCTCAATTCATACGTTTGCCCACTGCATGTGATATTTTAATAGATTGAACTTTGAAAACGTGCTTTACCAAGAAGCACATTGAAAACAAATTTCTGTTGAAATATAGATCAACAGAGGTGTGAAATTTCTGTCCATATAATTGGGTACCACAGAGTTAGTATCATATTGATAACTGTTCTTAAAAGAAGGGGTGAGGTTTTAACATATGAACACCTAATTTGTCAATTAATTCAAATATTTTTGTTATGCTAGTTCCTGTGAATTATTATTTTAAAACTAATAACGTTACATACAAGAGCACCTTTGCAAAAATAAACAAAAACTTGGCAACTACATTAAAAGCTTCTCACTACGTATTCACTGAAATCAACTCTTTGTAAAAAAATTTCTTTTTTATTTCCTTCTCATCCTCTGATGGAAATCTATTTCAATAGATTTGCAGAGAAATTTATCAAAAGGAATTCAAAATAAATATTTTGTTTTCAACTGACTTTAGTCAAAATAACTATATGAAAGTAGATGTAATTTTCTTCAGCGTAAAATGGTTTCTGCATAATTGCAGGACTTAAATAACCATGTGATCCATGTCAACTTTGACAAAACAGCATCCAATTGTGTTTGTGAAGGTTCTGACTTCCTCTTAAAATAGGTTGCATATGAAATAGACAAATCAGCAATAAACAAAAATACAGCTATATTACTTTTATACATTAACAATATTTGGATTGTTAAAGGAAAAGATAATTATCCTTTCCATTTCAATCGTTATCTCCACCAATAGCCAAATACTAGTCATGAACTCCATCCCCAAGTGCCTCTTTGATCCAAATTCATCACAAAGCTATCAAAAGTCCCAAACAGAGCTTCCCTGGTGGCGCGGTGGTTGGGAGTCCGCCTGCCGATGCAGGGGACGTGGGTTCGTGCCCCGGTCCGGGAAGATCCCACATGCCGCGGAGCGGCTGGGCCCGTGAGCCATGACCGCTGGGCCTGCGTGTCCGGAGCCTGTGCTCCACGGAGGGGGAGGCCACAACAGTGAGAGGCCCGCGTACCGCAAAAAAAAAAAAAAAAAAAAAAAAAAAAAAGTCCCAAACATTCAACCAAAATGTAGCTGATTCATTCTGAGTAATGGTCATTAAGAAAGTAAACAAAGGTACTTCTGAAGAGCCATAATCATGCCTCTATTGAGAGTATTTTTTCATCATTTCAAAGTAAGTGTGACAATTCCATTACTGTAAATAATGATTTTTTCATAATAGTTTCCCTGTTTTGTGTGGGGTCACATTTATATAGTAGCCATCCAGTTTCAAAATCATAGGAAACTTATTCCATCTTTTTTTTTTTTTTTTTTTTTTTTTTTTTGGGATTTGTGCCTTTTTTCTTTTTTTTCTTTTTTTTTTTTTTTTTTTGTATTTAGAAGATGGCTCACGGGCCCAGCCACCCCACGGCATGTGGGATCTTCCCGGATCAGGGCACGAACCCGTGTCCCCTGAATTGGCAGGCGGACTCTCAGCCACTGCGCCACCAGGGAAGCCCCTATTCCATCTTTTAAATAATGTTCATGGGTGATTTTTTGTCTCAAAGACAACTCAGATTCCTGGTTTACGTTCTGATCAAGTATTCAAACAGAGCTCTGATTAGCTGGGGTAGACTAGTTCACTGTGGACCACAATCTTTACAGGAAGCACAATGCCTCTTGGCCATGGAAATATATATGGAGCTTAATAAAAATTTATGCGTTTTTCTTTTCCTTTCCTACAAAGGTTATGTTTTAAATTTTCTTTTTTTTTTTACGTCTTTATTGGAGTATAATTGCTTTACAATAGTGTGTTAGTTTCCCCTTTACAACAAAGTGAATCAGTTATACATATACGTATGTTTCCATATCTCTTCCCTCTTGTGTCTCCCTCCCTTCCACCCTCCTTATCCCACCCCTTTAGGTGGTCACAAAGCACCTTGTTGATCTCCCTGTGCTATGCAGCTGCTTCCCACCAGCTATCTATTCTATGTTTGGTAGTGTATATATGTCCATGCCACTCTCTCACTTTGTCACAGCTTACCCTTCCCCCTCCCCATATCCTCAAGTCCATTCTCTAGTAGGTCTGTGTCTTTATTCCTGTCTTACCCCTAGGTTCTTCATGACATTTTTTTCTTAGATTCCATATATATGTGTTAGCATATGGTATTTGTCTTTCTCTTTCTGACTTACTTCACTCTGTATGACAGACTCTAGGTCCATCCACCTCACTACAAATAACTCAATTTCATTTCTTTTAATGGCTGAGTAATATTCCATTGTATATATGTGCCACATCTTCTTTATCCATTCTTCATTGTTTTAGAAGTCCCACAAACTGGAAGCTAATTTAAAATGGAACAAAAATGTCTAGAATCTCACATTTCTTCTGCCTTCACTTCTTTTACTCCCATGTGCATCTATTAAAATCATATCAATATTTCAAGGCCCAGCTCAAATCCATCAACTGTAATACCCTTTGTGATTCCTGCTCCCTCTTTCTTCAATCTAGGTTTGATCTCTTCCTCTTCTAAATTCTGGTAATACTTGGTTATTCTCTATGCTATCCATCACAGGCTTATGTAAGTTAAATGGTACTTGTTGTTTGTCTTAAATTTAGTTTGTGAGTCCTGGAAGTCAGGAATTATGTCCTATTCATATCCTATATTTCTCTCTCTGTGATGTGTAAATATCAAGAGTATAATATTTGTTGAATAAATGGAGGAACAAAGGAACAAATCAAGGGTTTCCCAGATTAGCTATACTCTTTTGATCCTATATACCCTTATATTATCTCCTCAACAAAAGGAAAAATATACTAAAGAGCTTAGTTCACGTGTTACTTAGAGGGCAGAGAGACCCTGTGACAAACTAATAGGAGACATAAGGAGGATTATAAAATATTATTTGTGTTTCACTACCCATTTATCCTGAAATTTTGAAAAATTTTATTCTAGAATATGATGATAATGATATAAATTATCATAAGCATTTATTTAATGTTTCACAGTTTTAAACTATATTTTACTCATATTATCTCCAGACAGCCAATGAAATAAGTGGTATAGATTATTACTATCACCTATATTTTACAGTTGTGGAAACAAGTTCAGGAGGGTTAATTGTCATATCCAAGGTCATTCAGCTATTAATTGGCAGAATAAGAATTGAAATTCAGGTCTTTCTGACTATACGCCTTGTATGGTATATACTACTCCACAACTGCATCACAAACACCAAAAAGATGCACTGGTTACTTTGTCTCACACCAGCAATGGGAATGGATTTTGCACATTCTTCTACTCTGTCCTTAGCTGGGCACACCTCCCACACACTCTTCTTATGAATGCAAGACAGGAAGCTAGAAGTAAAGGTCATATCTGTGGTCATATAATGAAAAAAAACAATAACAATAACAAAAATAAAAAACTAAAAACACCTTAGCAGGCTTAGTCAGAAATCAAACTCATCAATACTTTATGTTAAGCAACTGAATCAATGAGCTGTGTGTTTATACTGAAGATCTAGTGGTATTGCTATTATTTTATCAAAATTTACATGTAATTAACACCTTTGTCCTCTTCTAAATCATGATTCTTACCTTTATAACTGAGGCCCCAGCTCTGGAGAGTGGACTGTGAATCTGGGCTGCAGCAGCCATGTTGGCAATAGTATTGAGATGGTTCATCTGATTCATTGCCATGGCAACTGATGCAGGAGGTAAGCTGACTGGAAGTAGGGGATGAGGCATCATCATAAATGGCAGATCCAGTCCTAAAAGAGACAGCACATGTTAAATTACTATGTTAGTTACATTGTCTGGACAAAGGGAAATCACATCAAAATTGATCCTATAAAATAGTAAAAAAAAATCTATATTTCACTCTTGTTGATTTTTTTTAATGAATTTTTAATATATCCTAGTATCTCTTTGAGAAATTACTAGTACTTATGGGATTTAACATTGTTTTATAATTTAAAAATATTCCTATGTCCACAGACATTTATTTAACAATATTCCTTGTTCATACTCTCACTGCCAAAATAGTTTCAAGGTTTAAACTTTTTTACTTATAAAAACAAACAAAAATCTTTGAGCTGAACATCACTGTTTAACAAAAAGAAGTAACTTTCTTTTTAAACATTATAATGTACTGATGTGTAGATAGTTTCTAGCTTAACTCTTTCTTTAGGAGACATAATAGTGGCGCTAGTATGATAAGATATAGATTCTCTAGGCTTCAGAATTATTGAAGAAAATAAGACTTGGAATATGTCCTACTCCTTTAGTTATAAATCTCTAAAACGAATGTATATAGGTCTAATTTGGAACCTTTGTCTGTAAGGAATAACTCCCATATCAAAATATCAGCCTGTTTTCCAGTTTAATAACAAATACCAATATCTTTGAGTAGCGTCAAGAATTCCATTTGTTTTCTTATGCAATGTGAAATATTTCTCACATATTTTGAATTTCTTAATATCTTTCAAGTACTATCCACATTACACTTGTGGTAGCCACAGATACGTCATCACGAAAATGGTAACAAATTAAAATAGTTGTCTACTTTCCCCTTATAAGGTTGGGATTTGTGAAGAAATACCTTTAAGCAGAGGATAAGGAAAGTTAGCCTAACATTACGGATGTTAACATGACTACAATAAGTAAACCATAGCACTTTATAATGTATTTTAAACTATTATCTTGATAGTAATCTTGCCTTCTTTTGGACATGAGCCCAGAAACTATCAGTCTTTAACAGATGTTCTAAAACATGCTTGCCTAAAATTTTCCTAAATTATTACAGGCTATTAACATTCTACTATGGGCAATGTTTGTGTTCGTCTTGCACACAATTATCAACTGTTAATAACATCTCTTTTTCTTCTTTGCCATCCCCTCATTTTTTCTTGCTTCCCATATCACAACAGCAAGTGTACAACAATGAATCTATAGGAAATATATTCACAGGCCCCTTAAATATCTTTCCTCAAAACAACAGTAACAGTAATACAAACACTTTACACACATTTTTTAGGACAAAAAGGAGGCTAGAAGGAAGAAACATTGTGAATTGATTTGAAGTCCATCTCCTGGGTTCAACAATAATGGTTGAATTAAAGTCATTAACAAAACAATTTCAAAAGCAGCACAATAAAACAAACTTCCGGATATGACAGGTCTCATACATTAAAGTGTTTATCTCTATTAAAGAAACTTGTAAATAAAGAATACAACCATCACCAATATTTCTGATAAAGATAGCTACAAAATGCACTGTTATCAGAATTACACAAGAATAATAAAAAAGCTAGAAACAAATTTTGCATGGAACCCCAGAAGGGAAATATATTCTATACTTCCTATGACTCCAAATCCTCAAAGAATATTGATAAAGCATTTTAAACTTTTCCCCATCACTGCACTTATGACTCAGTCTCTGAATCCTTTTTAGGAGCAATCTTTCAAAACATACTTTTCAGTTGTGAAACCTTTTTCCTGTGATTATTAATTTAAAGCCTGAACACAATGTAAACACTGAATTCAAAATGGATTTCTGCACCCCGTTTTAAATTGGTTTATTTTCAGTTAAGCTTTCAAAATTACTTAGATATATATGCATTTTATACGTTAACCATCATACAGCTTTGCTATAATGATAGGATATTCCATAACATAAATTAATCACTATTTATCTTCCCCTAAGAACCTTCACTTTATGCTCCATAAAATAGCAACCATCAATAACATAAATAGATTTCTATATAAGGTTCTCATTTACCACAAACCCAAGATAATTATAGACTTCCAATTCTTCTTTATGTACTCAGTATTTTAATAGAAAATTGATCAAACCGTAGATGAAAAGTAGCCATCAGTGCCTCCATTTACCTCTCAAATGCTTAAATAAACTTTTGTTCAGTTTACTTTTCCCTTAGCAGTATAATAATCTTTCCTTATTCTCCAAAGTTTTCCAGCATCATCCAGATACCATCTGGCGGTATCAAGTCATATGCCTACTTAAAGTCCAATTGACATGCAAACTAAATGCAAACCACAAACAGAATTTAACAGCTCATTGACAGTTTTAAAATACAACTCGTCAAACATTTCAAATAACCATGAAGGGCTTAAAAGTCACAATTTCAGATCATGACCTACAATAACTAACCATGAATTGACTATAGTACCCTGGAATTTAAGCTAATATTTATATTACAGGCAAGTTTAACAGTGACCCCAGTTGAGCTGCACATGCAAAGCATATGCAAATACTGAATTATGTAAGTCAACCTTTTCCCAAAGCTGGAAACATTACGAGCCATCAATAGTATACAACACTCCAGCAATCTGGCTCATTTAGTCACATGTCAGAAATGTACAGCAACTTTTAATAGAATGGTAATGAAGACAAACTCTTTTTAAATATCACCAAAATGAATTTTTCTTTCCTGTCAACCAAAAGGACATCAGGCAGACGACTATAAGCACTCTTTCTAATACATCTTGGTATTCTGGCAACTCCTATAACTTTTATGTAAGTGCATGGCACCAACTCCTCCCAGCCATTAAGGTTACAAACTTCAATAATACTCTAATCTTCCCTCTAAAATATCACATTGATTTGGTTTCCAAGTCATGTTTTCCTCTGTGATATATTGCATTCTACAGTCAGGCACTAATCCCACCATGCCTAGAAGGTAACCTGTCTTCCTGGTTTTCCTATGCCATTTAATTTGCCTTTCCACTTCAATTTTAAGACTTTCAGTGGCTACTCACTGTCTCTAGAATAAAATATAAGCTCTTTGGTTTCATGTGAAAATACCTTTCTAGCTTTGATATCTCACTATATCCCTCTGTGTATGCTCTACTCTAGCCCCTCTGGACTAGTTGTAGCTCTCTGCAATTTTAACTTACCTTAGCCTTCACTTTTGTTGATGCCTCTCTCTGGAATCTACCACTCTAACACATTTATTTGGGTATGGTAAAAGTCCTCCTCCTCTTTTTAATCAATGGGCTTTAATTTTAGAGCAATTTTAGGTTTACAGAAAAAAAAATGAGCAGAATTTACATAGAATTTCCATATACTTCTCCTCCACCAGCAGTTTCCCGTCTAAGTAACATCATGGATTAGTGAGGTACACTTGCTACAATGGATGAATCAATATTGATACATTATTATTAACTACTGTCGATAGTGTGCAATAGGGTTCATTCTTTGTGTTGCAAATTCTAAGGATTTTCACAAATGCACAGTATCATGTATCTACCATTACAGTGTAATACAGAATAGTTAGTTTAACTGGCCCTAAAAATCCCCTCTGCTCCATCTATTCACCCCTCCTCTTATACTTGGCTTTTAATGTCTCTATAGATTTGCCTTTTCCTGAATGCCATATAAGTGGACTCATACAGTATTTGTTTTTTTCAGACTGGCTTTGTTTCTCTTAGAAATATGCACTAGTCTTTTCCAGGCATCACAATTCATTTGTTTTTATTGCTAGCTATTCTTCCATGGCATGGATATACCACAGTTTGTTTACTCATTCAGCTATTGAAGGACACTGTGGTTTGCTTCCAACTTTTAGCAATTATGAATAGAGTTGCTATAAACATTGGTATGTAGATATTTGTGTGGACATAAATTTTTAATTCATTTGATAAACAAGGGAGACTCTGTTTAGCTTTGTGAGAAACTGTCAAATGCTTTCCAATATGGCTGTCCCATATTGCATTCCTACCAGCAATGAATGAGAGCTCCTCTTGCTCCAAATCCATATCAGCAATTAATGTTGATGAAGTTTTGGATTTTAGCCATTCCAATAGGTGTCCAGGAGTATCTCATTTATTTTAATCTGAAACTCCCTTATGGCATATGATGTTGAGTATATTTTCATATGATTATTTGTCATCTGTATATCTTATCTGATGAGGTGTCTGTTCAGGTCTTTGACCCGTTTTTAATTAGGCTATTTCTTTTTTTTTAATTGAAATATAATTGACTTACAATGTTATATTAGCTTCAGGTGTACACTTGGTGATTCGATACTTTTATAGATTATGCACCATACAAAGTTATTATAAAATATTGACTCTATTCCCTGTGTTGTTCATTACATCCCTAAATCTATTTGTTTTATAACCTGTAGTTTGTACCTCTTAATCCCCATCACCTATTTTGCCCTTCCCCCCACACCTGCCCCTTGTGGTAACAACTAGTTTGTTCTCTGAATCTGTGAGTCTGTATATGTTTTGTAATATTTGTTAATTTGATTTGTTTTTTTAAATTCCACATATAAGTGAAAACATACAGTATTTGTCTTTCTCTGTCTGACATTTCTCTAAGCATAATACCCTCCAGGTCCATCCATGTTGTTGCAAATGGCAAGATTCAAGTGCTGAGTAATATTCAGCACTTGAAATGGCAAGATTTCAAGTGCTGAGTAATATTCCACCTCTTCTTTAACCATTCATCAGTTGTAGACATTTAGGTGGCTTCCATTATCTTGGCTACTATAAATAATGCTGCTGTGAACAGTTAGGTACATATTTTTTTCTTTCAAATTAGTATTTTTGGTTTCCTCAGATAAATACCCAGGAGTGGAACTGCTGGATGGTATGGTAGTTCTATTTTCAATATTTTGAGGAATGTCCATATCATTTTACATAGTGGCTACACCAATTAACATTCCATCAACAGTGCATGAGGGTTCCTTTTCTCCAAATCCTTGCCAATATTTGTTACTTCTTATCTTTTTGACAGGCATGAGGT